CCAGTTCTAACTGTTGCTTCCTGTCCCACATATAGGTTTCTCAGGAGATAGATAAGGTGGTCAGGCACTCCCATTTCTTTAAGAACTTGCCATAGTTTGCTGTGGTCCACACAGTCAAAGGCTTTTGCATAGTCAATGAAGCAGAAGTAGATATTTTTGTGGAACTCTCTGGCTTTCTCCATAATCCAGCACAAGTTACTATATACTAAATAATGGGATCTCAGCCACTATGTTAAAACATAAGTTTGTTTGTTTGTTTTTTTGTTTGTTTTGTATCTGGCCACTTTTAATTTGGAAGTACAGGATGCCCATATTAATAATTCTTTCAGTCTGGGTGGCAGAGTGTGGTCTAGTTTTTCCCTGTCAAACTGCCCTCAGTGGTATTGTTTGCAGTAAACAACACCTTCAATAGGAAATGTGTTTCTGTCTCCATCACCAGGGGACCTAAGCCAGGTTTTCATGGACTACAATTCCCCGAAACCTTCACCACCAGCTGTGCTGGCCAGGGTTTCTGGGAGCTGCAGTTCAAGAACACATGGGTCATTCCCCATTTGGGAACCACTTCCATAGTGGTTATAGTAATGGACTAGGACTGAGGAGACCCAGGTTCAAATCCCCGTTTGGCCATGGAGACTCATGGGGAAGTGGAATTAATAAAGCACTCCTTAAATATCTAATTTACCTTGAAGGCTCTATCGGGGTCACTGTAAGTCAATTTTGACTTGACTGTACATAACACATATACTCCTCATTCACACTCAGAGTAGCCAGCTTAAGTATGTAGTTTAATGTAATGTGATTAACATAATGTGTGGTTGCTATATAATGATTACTTACGTTTTTTTCTATGAAGACTTTTATGAAAGACCATTTCCTGAATAACTACCTGTTTCCTGCTTTAAGTGGCAGCTGTAATTCTGAATGATAAAATGAGCACTTTAAATATCTCAACGGAAGTGAATATCTGTAAACAGAGAATAGAAACAAAAGTAGAAGCTGGAATTGCATGCAGTGTCTTAGTCTATATTCACTGCATGTTTGCAGATAAACACTTTTCTTTAACATGGTGGCATGATGACTTCATAAAGTTTGTGCTTGCTGCCTAAAATGTGAGGACAGAGTGACATATATCCTGACAATGCATGATCCCAAACTCACCGTTACTATAACTGCAATCACACTGTGGCTTAATTCACAACCTATCTGACACTTTTGTTCAGATTAGGTGATCACACAGACTGCAAATTGTTTTGGTGTCTTCATCCTCAGTGGCCCCTCAGTGGTCCAGAGTAAGTGAAACCACATGCTCTGCAGCAGTAAATTGCAACTAATTAGTGAGGTTCCAGTCATTTGCTTGATCATGTGTGAGTCATGTGACTGGTCACACAGCCAGGCAAACAAGTGACAAATTGCTAATTCACTGCAATTTGCTGCTACAACTTATGCAATTTCACTTACTTTAGAGTAAAAGCCCCAAAGAGGTTTGCTATATATTTTTAGTATCACAAACTGTCCAGAGTCACGTTCTGTTATTAATAGATAATGTAGTTTATATTCACAAATTTTGCAAGTTAGTTCTCTAAAATTCCCTCTCATATTCAAGAGAAAGAATAAGATGGTGCCTTTGTGTTTGTGGATCCTTGCCAAGATTCTTGGCACAAATGCTCCCTAGCTGGATACAACAGATATGTAGCATGTTTCTTTAACAGTGTAAACGAAGGATAAAAACCCAGCACTGGAGAAAGAGAAACATGCTTGTATTAAGAAAGGCTGCATAATGCTTTCTCTGTCTCGCCTGTGTGCATCTGCTCTCTTTGTGTGTGTGTGTGTTTAAATCATGTCTCCCAATAAACCACAAACATTTCCTGAGGAAACACATTTCTTTGAAATTTTTTTCTATCTAGTTAGAAGGTAAGAGACAAGATACAAAATTTCAAGCAGGAAAAGTCTGTGCTAGTAAAATTAAAATCTTAGCTCTGCTTCTGTAACTAACTACAGATGGAGAAAAAAATTGAAATGTTAAAAGCTAGAATACAAATAAGATAGAAAGTATTTTTTAAAATATTGTTTATAGTCTCAAGATTTTTGAATCAAGACTCATAAAGGATTAGAATCCGAGGATGCAAACTTGCTGACAATAATTTTGCCGATGAAAATAACAATCCTTTGGTGATCTTTGTGTGCGCTATAGACAATGTTGTTCTGTTGACACTTTACAGTCTCTCCTCTGCTTCTTGATCTGTGATCATACTTTTGTGGCTTTCTAATCTGGATGCTCAGATTTCATAATAAAATTATACAAAACTAAGATAAGATCCTAAGTTACAGATAAATTTCTCCGTTTATCTTGTAGAGCCATCATTCTGACCTGGTGGAACGTAACATTGAACTGTGGCTTAATGTTCAGTATTATATGCATTAGTTAGTAGTCATTAACAACTCCTCCCTCTCCCTCTCCCCCTTCATCAGAAATGCAAACAAGAAGAATAAAATAGGCATTCACTTTGCAGTTTTAAAAGCTGAAAGTGCTACTGTTAAACAACAGAACTTGACGAGCTTGAGAGAATTATAAATCTTCACCTGCCTCTGAAAGGAGAAGAATATGAGGTGCAGTCTGAAATAAATTCAGTTAAATTCAGTGGGACTTGCTGTTGCATAAACATGTAGAGGATTGCATCCTTAGCTATTAGATGAGGTTCCCTTGGAATGGAATTGCCCAGTTATAAAGCACAACTCTTGTGATACAGGGACACAGAAAGAGCATCCCTGAAGAATGTGAGGACTGTGAACACATTTTGGGATCCCCTGGGCAACAACAGCGCCATCAGCTGATCCTTCCACTTCAGAGGCATCATTAGATCACTTCTGACCCAAACAAGGAAGAGGCACCACCATCAGTGGTGTGTAAAACTAGACCTCCAAAAAGGCAAAAGGTGGAAGTGAGTTCTTTGAGCTTTACTGCCACTTAAGTAGGAAGGCATAGTATGGCTCTGTCTTTTCAATGAAAAGTTAATGATGGTAAGGTAGTTTTCTTTCTCCCCCAACAGGCTGTTCTATCAGCCTGACAGTTTGTATCTGCTTGTTTCCCTCTAGTTCAGCCTTCATCAATGTGGTGCTATCCAGATATTTTGGGCTGCAATAACTATTACTATTGACTGTTGGTAGTGCTGGCTGGGTCTTCTGAAAACTGGAGACCACAACACCTAGATGGTACCAGGCTGAGAAAAGCGGCCTCAAGTTCCCCCTGCTGGCGAACTTTATTATTGAAGCACTGTGAGGCACAAAGGATTGCTGAAGTTGATTGAGCAATGAGTTCAGCATTGATAAGCACATGCAAGTGTACTTTGTTGGGAAAGACAGCATATTTTAGTGAACTTCCACTGTAACTGTTCTGGCTAGACAAGTGATAGAGACACTTAGACAGAATCAGAAAGGCCTATATAGAGTTAGGGCCTCTTCAGTAACCTGCAGATGGGAGACTAAATAAGACAATTGGTTTATTAACACTGCAGTCCTATGCTGGTCAACTCAGAAGTAGGGCTGTAAGAGAATTTTGCTCAGTTTAGACCTCATTGTGTGTCTTCTAAATGAATTCCAAAATTTGCACTTTGCAAGATTTGCAATATGTCGGTGAAATAAAATTTGCATTTTAACAGGCAAATGGCTAAAATAAGTAAATAAAAAGAGAGACAAAAACATGCTTTGATCCAGGGGGAAACTACTCACTCAAGCGTGTGGTTTAAAATCTGTATAAATGCGACTACTGAATCCTACATAAATCTTATTGCAAGAAGGAACAAATAAAGTGTCGCATTCTGGTGTGAAATGGCAAGAATGCAGATGAGATTTAGAAAAACAAAATGAAGTCAAGACAGAAGGATTTTTACATCTTCACTCTGAAGTGTACCCGTGGAATATCCTTTCAGGAAAGCATGTATATGGCATGTGCACTTACTTGGGAATAAATTCCTTTCATTATAGTGTGTATATGCACACACATCTACATATACAGGATTGTGTTTTTAGAAGGCTATACTGACCTATTTAAAATGTCAGGGGAAATAACTTATGAGAAGGAAGGAGCTTAGGGAAAAGAATCTCATCAGGAAAACAGCAACAACACGAAAGAGTTTTGTGCACACCACACAAATGTATTCTCATTCTCCCAGGTGTGAGCCACATGGTAAGAGGGAAAGCCAAACTAGATCTCATCCAAATTCATAGCAAATGTCTTTGCTTAAGAAAACATGTTGAAGCCAGGTTATTATTTGGAATTAATTAAAGGAACATTTATATATAGTGGACACTTTTATCTTGGTTAGAATGTAGGTTTCTTACTTTGAATTCCCTTCTTACCTTCTGCTGATATTAATTACAATAATTATATGTCATATTTCCTTATAGATCATATGACATATAATTATGTCATTACCATTAGGCAAAGAGAGGAGACGACCTTGTAAGCAGAAGTTTTTGAGAGCCGTGAAAGGGCAGCAAATAATTAACTTTTTAATTTCTTATAATGGTATTTTTACAGCCAGGGAAGGAAAGAGGCAATTGTAGGATTTTCTGTCATATGTGCCATGTGCATTTTGACCATGTACCCCAATGGGTCTGGGTGGGGCAATTTGTGACACATCTTGGGTTGGTCTTCTGAGATACTCTTAATGTTGAGAAATTAGGTACTAGCTTGGCTGTAGAGTATCTTAATACTGTCTTAATATTTTGTATATCAACTTGAAGAGGTACGATATCCTGGCCATATCTATGTACTGTACAACTTAACATGATTTTTGGCTAGGTTTATTATCAGGATATACACTGTGTTCTTTTACCAACAATAATATAAACTGGGGGTGAGCAAAATGCAGCTTATAGGTTGCAGCATCCCCCTGGGGCATTTTTGAGCCCTCTCATGCCCATCCCAAAGTCCAAAAGACCAGGGGGGAAAAATCCTACCTAAACAGCTAAATTTGACCCCAGAGGACTCTAAGAATAGTGTGAGGATTTTTTTTAGCTCCTGAAGATTTTAGGGTTCCCCCCAAATCCCTCAAACCCCATACCCAAACAAATTAGAAGTGCTGGTCCAGACACTTCATGTCTGATTTTTTTTCAGATGACTTTTTGTGGCCATTTCCAAGCCTGGTACAGCTGCTGGTGAGAGCTGGGGATGTGAACTTGGCTTCCAAGTCCTCAGACACTTTGTCCTCCTCTGATATAAATAAGCTGGTAGATAACAAGCACTTCACAATCCAGATTTTTCTGGATTCACATCCATGAATATTACCAATATTGCTTAGTTACTACATGTGCGTATCAGGTACTTTATAAATGATTTTGCTGCTTTAAAAGAAATGATTTTTATGTAGAAAATTTGAAGAGCAATTCCTTTTCCCCTCCCCTTCTCTTCTTATTGTTTTCTTTCTTTCTTGGTGCAGGTTCTTGTGAATTCTTTGAGAAATCAGCACGCTGTGTCACATGAACCTCGTGTGGATGCAACAGAGAAGAACTGCAGTGAAGAGGAAATGAAGGTACAAATAGACGTTCTCAGACAACAGGTATGATTGCATGAATAGAAACAGTGCAGTAACATTTAATTTGGAATATGTCATTTCAGGTGGACTCCGATGTGTGCACACGCAAAATTTTTAATAGGTGTTGCAGATGCCCTTAGTTATATGCAATCCATCAGGAGCACAGATTCATTATGAATAAAGTCTAACATTTTTAGTAGAAAGTTTCGTTTCTAGATTTAATGATCTGGGAATTACTTCAGCTCTTATATTCAGCTTAGCTCTAATTTATTCCTGTTTTCATGCTGCAATTTTACTTGCAGTAGGTTTCAACTCACCCATGATATGCCACTGAGTTTGTTTTCAAGAAGTTGTTTGCCATTTTTATAATTTCCATTCAATCATAGTCTTCTAAAAGTCATTTTTTCAATAGTTCAGTGTTCTAAGTATAGAGATAAATTAAAAGCTACCAATTGCATCTTCAGTATCACTTGCCTCAGGCAGTTGCCTCACTCTCCTTAATTGTAGGGCCGGTAGTAATTAAAAGTATATTGAGTATCCCCAGCTGGCTCAAAGAAGGCCTAGTGCAGCAATGAAAATAAGCCAAAAGACAACAAAAATACTTGTAAAAAATATGAGAGATCAAGAATGACAGAAATTAATAGAAAGGACTATCAAGAAGAGAAGAGAGTCAGATACTTAGGGATCCAAATCACAAAGAAAACTGGTACATTATTCAAAGACAATTATAGGAAGTTGATTAAACAGATATAGAATAGCTTGGAGAGACGGGACAAATTACAGCTATCGTTAATGGGAAGAATAGCAACCATCAAAATGAATGTTCTACCTAAAATTTTATTTTTATTTCAGACAATTCCCATAATATTAAAACAGTCATTTTTTTTCAAGAACTTAACAAGATAATCATGAGATTTGTGTGGCAAGGTAAAAAAACCCAAGAATTAAAATTAAAGCAATGCAAGATGCCAAACAAAGAGCAAGTTTTGGTCTCCCAGATTGGGTACTGTATTATAGAGCCTGTGTATTAGGAATGGATAACTTTAGATAATGATAGACTACTTAAGTTGGAAGGACATGATTTACAGTTAGGTTGGCATGCTTTTCTATGGTACAAAAAAGATAAAGAGCAGAAAAGTTTCAACTCACATATGATAAGAAGAGCCCTACTAGGGACTTGGAAAAATATCATCCAGCAGATTCACCCAAAAACACCAGCCTGGGTATCACCCATAGACGCCTTTACACAACCTAACCTGATGACTGAAGCAAAACTTTTAAGTTATCAAGATCTATTAAAAAGGGTTGTGAGTTAAGGTCCAAAGAAGAGTTAGAAACACAAAACATACTAGACTGGTGGTCCAGAGCACAAGTAGAATCTAGGTATAGAAAAGATAAAATAGAGGGTTTTTACACAGAACATGTGATATTCAATAAACTTCTGCTGGGCTCAAATGATAAAGTAATTAAGAAAATGTATGATTATTTGCTTGAAACTAAAATGCAAGATGAGATGGTAAAAGAATGCATGATTAAGTGAGCACAAAATATAGGACTTAATACTGATATTGATCAATGGTTGCAAATATGGAAAAATAACATAAAGCTCAAAAAATGGGTAAATTTCAAGGAGAACATATATAAGATGTTTTATAGGTGCCATATGACTCCGGAAAAATTGTCAAAGATTTATACAGAGGTGTCAAATGTTTGTTGGAAGTGTGAAGCACAAGAGGGAAGCTTTTACCATATGTGGCGGACTTGTAGAGTAGCGAAACAGTACTGGATAGCAGTACATACTCTGTTACAAAAAATACTGCGTTGTAATGTTCCACTAACCCCAGAATTGTTTTTACTGAGCATTATACCAGATAATATAGATAAGACAAAGAACTACCTAGTTATATATATAGTCACTGCAGCCAGAATTCTTTATGCTAAGAACTGGAAGAAATCAGAGATACCAAAATAAGAGGAACTTGTTGAGACAATATGGGAAGTGGCAGAAATGGATATTCTATCAGAAGTGTTGAAAGATTGTCCAATACAAAAGGCAACTGAACGATGGGATTTATTATATAAATGGCTTGAGTCATCAGATAGTGCTTGAATAACATAGAATTAAACTAAATTGTAACTGTAAGTTGAAACCTGGAAGGCAATCAAATTGTAGAAAGGCAAAAAGTGGACTTGATATCACAACATGAACAAACAGATTGGATGAGAGTACATTTTGTGTTCTCCTCCCCTAACTTTTCCCCCCATATCCACCTCTTTGTACTCCTTACTTTATCCCTAGTTTTTCTAAAAAAGGCCTAGTGCTGGTAGAACTGAAGACTTATTAAATCTATGTTGCACTTTTAAACCTCAAAAAGATGCAGTTTTCTGTTTTTGTTCCCTTCTATTTAGGAATCCATGCATTTAAAATTATGTTACTTTCCAGTTAACCTTCAATTTAAACTCTGTCATTCTAGACACTTTTAAGAGTGAGCTGCTGAAATACTAATGTGTGTGAAAGGAAGACCCACGGACTAAAATAGCTGTTTCTGTCACGTTTGAAGGGCTGAGCCAGATTTTATTCTGACATAATTCAAACCATATGCAGAAAAATAAAACTTTTAATTTGATTCTGCAGCAATAGTTTGTACATATAATAAAAGCAGAATGCACCTTTCCTTCCTTTCCTCCTTTTTCATATTCTATTGATGGGATGTAATTGAAGGCGTGACTGTCTCTGCCTCCAAAAGTAGCTCCATTTTTGAGCATCGACAGAGACACAGGCTTCATGCTACATATTAGGAAACAGAATATGTAAACAAGTGGTTTCTTCTTCCTACCAGCAATCTCTCAGTCACCCCCTCCACATTCAGTTGTCAGTTATCTCAGTTGACAATGTGTCTAGTTGACAATGTGTCTAGCAGAAGTGCTCCCTCACTGATGAAATACATTTGTATGTCATACTACATGATTTCCTTACCTACATATCTTGCATTTAGCATACTGTATTTTCTGTATAGTAAGGTGAACATAGGCTTAATATGTAGGTCTGATTGCCAAGGCACATCTCTCTGAGGAATTCCACTGTGGGAGGGAAACTGACACAATCTCAGGGAATACATATCCCCCTTAACATCAGCTTTGACCTTCAGAGATAATAACGGAGGGAGTATGGAGGCCAAGAAACCACAGAGATGCCTCCATCATTGTTCTCAGTTCTTCCCTCTCAGGGACTACCATTATACATTTTGGTGCATAAAGGACAAGACGAGGGCCTCCATCCCAGTTAAGAAGCTGATTGGATTTCTCATCATCATCATCATCTTAGAATTGTGGAGCTGGAAGGGATCCTATGGATCACTGAGTTCAGCTCCATTCAAGGAAGTGTTGCGGGGAATCAAACTCCCAACTCCTGGCTTCCGAACTGGATACCTAATTCACTGAGTTCAGAAAAAATCAGGACAAAGTTGCATGGTTCCAAAACAATACAAATGTAGGAACATTTGTTGGAACATTAAGAAAATAAAACAACAATGACACAAAAAAGCAAGCTTTCAATGATAATTCATCTTCCTCAGGCTGTGCACCAAGTATTCATGGGTAGCTTCATAATTATATCTTTATATTAAAGTCCCAAAGTCTCATGGCTGCTGTCTCTGCTTAAAAAGGTCCACATAGTCAAAGCCATGGTTTTTCCAGTAGCAATGTATGGAAGTGAGAGCTGGACCATAAAGAAGGCTGACCACCAAAGAATTGATGCTTTTGAATTGTAGTGCTGGAGGAGGCTCTTGAGAGTCCCCTGGACTGCAAGGAGAAAAAAACTATCAATTCTAAAGGAAATCAACCCTGAGTGCTCACTGGAAGGACAGATCCTGAAGCTGAGGCTCCAATACTGTGGCCATCTCATGGGAAGAGAAGACTCCCCGGAATAGCCCCTGATGTTGGGAAAGTGTGATGGCAAGAGGAGAAGGGGACGACAGAGGTTGAGATGGTTGGACATTGTCATCGAAGCTACCAATGTGAATTTGCCCCAACTCTGGGAAGCAGTGGAAGACAGGAGGGCCGGGCGTCCTCTGGTCCATGGGGTCACGAAGAGTCGGGCACGACTTAATGACTAAACAACAAAATAATTTTGGAGCTATACATAGAAACTTCGGGCACAGCCTGAGGAACATGAAAGCTCACTTCATTTTTTGCTTTGTTTTCTTAATGGTCCAATAAAGGTATCACCTGTTCCTGCATTTAAACTGCTAACTAGCACTTCCAGAAGTTTACCATTCCTTTCTTCTGAGGGCACCTCTGGAACTGTGCAGCTTGTCCAAGGCCACATAGGCTGGCTCTTCTTGGATGCACAGTGGGGAATTGAAGTCCCAACCTCTGGCTCTACAACCAGATGTCTCCTTACTGCACCAGGCAAGTTTGGGGGGCAAGAATTGGATATGTGGCCTCTGCAATGTAGGACCTTATCTCTCCCTTTTCTCCAGCTTTCCCCATTTAGCCTAAAACAGTAGGACTGGCCTTGTTTCATCCCTTTGAGCAGTCAGCCATCTGTCCAACTGCTTACATTCTTCAAGAATGGATCAACTGTTCACAGTTATGTCATAGTCAGTTTGTTTGCACACTGCATTTTCTACAATACGTGGTGTTGAAGGTGATTCACAAAAATAAATAAATACAATAACCACAATTATAGTTAAAATACCTTCCCCTTTCCCAAGAAGAAGGCTGCTCCCCTTCTCCAAGAGCATGCCTATACGAGAAAGAGGCTTTATCCTCTATTCCTATCGAAATCTCCTTGCCCACTTCCCCTGTACCATCTCAAAGGTTGGCACCTCAGATCATATAGGCAACCATAATAAGAAAGTCCAGGAACCTGACACACAAGTATTCATTGGCTCTTATATTGTACATTTTGTAAATATTTAATAGTTAAAATGCTAATTCTTTACACTGTATAATGCAGATTTGGAGTGCAGTCCTACAGACATTTACTTACAGGATGTACTGAAATCTATGAACTATTTTTGTAAGAGAGTAATAATCCAAAAGCCAGAAATCTCCTTAATTCTTCAGTGATTACTAGATCTTGTTTACTTATAATTAAATGCAATCAGGCCCACTCTGAAAGCTCTGCTTATAGCATTTGATGGCCGCTGATGGAAGCACAGCACGCAAAACATTGCAGAAATACTCACTCCTCATGGTGAGATGTATGCTATAAAGTGTGTGTGCATGTGTGTGTATGTAAATACACCATTAAAATAAACAGTTTTTTTCTATTGTCTGTCTGATTAGTGAATATTTGGGAATTTTAGTTGCATCTGCATTTTATATATTAAAGAATCCTAATTCTAGGTTCAAATATATGAAGAAGACTTTAAAAAGGAAAGGTCTGATAGAGAAAGGCTTAACGCAGAGAAAGAAGCACTGCAGAGAATTAATGAGAAATCACAGACTCAATTGAACAAACTGAATTATCAGGTATGTGTCAAAAGAGCTACTGTTGCCAAAACATATGCATTTTATTCTTTTTCTTACTTTTTCACTTGCTGTGCAACCCATGACAATCTGGCTTCTGTTAATTGACACAGAGTTTTAGATGAGGTCACCATCTGGGATGAAATCATTTGGAAATAATGCTGCTGATGGAATGAGGAGTAACATGCCCCCTGCCCTGCTCCTCCAATAAATGCAGTGACTTGTGATTAATGCACTGGCTCTTCAGATCTTTTGTAAAGAGCCTACAAACTTTTTCCACTCCTTTCTTTTCTTTTTCTTTTTCCTTTTTTCAGATTCCAGATTATTACCAAGAAATAAGGGAAAGTAAAATTCAAAAAAGAAAAATAAATGCTAAGTTTTCATCCATTTGGAATGATAGCAACTATCGTAAAGATGGAAATAAGACCCCCGTACAAACAATGGAAGTTACTTTTACATGTAGTAAACATGAAACAGATTCTGTAGTTAAATAAGTAGGTTTACAACACAATCTTCAACAATGTCATATTCACAGGGCTTGCTTTCACATAACTATGTATAGAATTTTGGCCCTAGAAAGATACAAGTTACCAAGCCAAGTCCAAATCTCCTTAATCTCAGTTAAGGGGTTGTCCTCCTTTAGCAGATTGGACTCAAGTAGCTTTACATTGAGCTTGCAATAATTACTATACAGATAGTACTATGCAGATGTTACCCTGTTGCCAGACTGTTGTGATCTACCTGACCTTTCTGCTTTTGAAGCACCATTCCTTGCCTGGCTGAACCAGATCATTTGAGCCAAGCTTAGGACATGGTGGCGCTGTAGGCTAAACCGCAGAAGCCTGTGCTGCAGGGTCAGAAGACCAGCAGTCGTAAGATAGAATCCACGCGATGGAATGAGCTCCCGTCGCTTTGTCCCAGCTCCTTGCCAGCCTACCAGTTCGAAAGCATGTAAATGCGAGTAGATAAATAGGTACCATCTCGGTGGGAAGGTAAAACGGCACTCCCTAGTCACGCTGGCCACGTGACAACGGAAACTCTCTTCGGACCACCGCTGGCTCTACAGCTTGAAAAACGGGATGAGCACTACCCCCTATAGTCGGACACGACTGGACTAAAAATGTCAAGGGGAACCTTTACCTTTAGGCTGTGGTCACACTTACAAAATGTTGCCCTGTTTTCCCCCATTGATCTTGAAATTAAATTTTGTAATCAGATGATGTACGGCCATGACTGGAATTTTCCCTCTATACCCATGATACCACTGCAGCATTTCCCTTCTGCCAGGACCCTTCTTTTTTTTGTTATGGGCATATCGCTGGACTGCTCTGTCATGGGCATCTGGTGTACATGTATATACCAGGATTTTTTTTCTTTAAAAAGGCAGCAATTTGAGACTGTGATGGGCACTGGCCTTGCCCTCTTATTTTATTTTTTTTACTTCTCCCAGATGGTAGGGAAGGTCTGACTGCCCTACACCAGGGGCAGAGCAGAGCGAAGCCCAGCCAAGGCTCCCCATTAGCAGGTGCCACTGCTGCCACCACCCAGGCACTTCCCAACTGACCGTGCATGTTGCGGGTGGAGGGACACATGGACATTAGAGTGGCCTGCAACCTGGTGGCTGTGACGGTGGTGGCCAGGGGCTCTCTCTCTCCCCCCCCCATGAGAGCAGCTGTGGATGGCTGTGCAGGTACCCCTCTGTCATGGTCAGAAGTGTGCCACATCTCCAGGCATGGGCAGTCAGCATTGGCTGTGACGGTGGTGGCCAGGGGCTCTCCCCCCCCAATGAGAGTAGCTGTGGATGGCTATGCAGGTACCCCCTCTGTCATGGTCGGAAGCGTGCCACATCTCCAGGCATGGGCAGCCAGCACGTTGTCCGGCTGTCCTGTAAGACAAGAGTTTCCCTCCATGCAGGGGCCAATAGGACCTGCAGAAACTTAGAAGAAAATTAGCCGAGAATCTAAGGTGTAGCTGCACATCAAAAGCAAATAAAAGTATTAGTACTTTGAAAGCATGTAGGGATGCAGATCTTGGAATACTGCGTATGTCATGTGGTCTTGTTGGACGACATAAGCCCATTTCGCTGGTGTGTCCACAGCCTTAATAAAGATATCACTTGTTTTCAGGTTACAATCTTGTGCCTATTTGTAAATGTTTAATCACTGATGAGCATTCTAGAGAATGTAAAGCTTTTAGGTCATTTTTCTTAATTTTTTAAAAAAAATGTAAAGAAGGAATTATAACACAAATAACAGTAGAAAGCAAAGTATGCCATGTATACATCTGAGGTAATGAATTGGTGACTTTTGCATCGGGCTATATATTTAATTTCTTTAGAAGGGTAACTTTTTGAGCCCTACGTTAGATTAAACAAGCAACTTAAATTGTGTAAACTAACTCAAAACAATTTCTTTCACAAATGATTAATTTGGAGCACAAATCTACTGAAAGGATTCGGTTGGCTAATTCAACCATTCTACCACAAGAGGGTGCAAAAAGTCTGATTTCAGCAATTATGGAATTCTCTGTATCTTTAAAACCTCTCTTATGGCTATACAGGCACTTTTTCTGTGTGGCATGTTATCATCCTTGTATATAACTACATGTTGACCACTCTTGGTATGAGCTCACAGCACTCTGGTATATGTAAATAAATCCTTAGTTGTCAATGTCTGTGCATGTTGATGTTCTTTCTCTAACATGCACACATGGTGATTAAACTGTGAAGAGCACGCCTGTAATTTTTTTTTCTAAAAACCCAGTTATAATTCTATCTTTTGAACAGACACAGAGGTTAATTGAGCACTACCATTTTAGAAGGCGTAATATGAATTATTCCTCTATATATGTACTATCTGGGTCTTAATAGGTATCATGCTTGCAGTGTATATATGTGTATATACTCATATTTGACTTTGCTTCACAGATTAAAGACTGCCAGGAAAAGAAAGAACTACTCGAGAAGCAAGTAAAGCAACAGGTTTGTGTGCAATAATTTAAATGTACTTGCTCAAGTAAGCCAAAACCAAGGATACTTCCGAATCATAGAATAATTGAGTTGGAAGGAGCCTATAAGACCATCCAATCCAACCCCCTGCTCAATGCAGGAATCCAGATCTAAGCAGACCTGACAGATGGTTGTCCAATTTTCTCTTGAATGCATCCAACGTTGAAGTGCTCACCACATCCCAGGGGAATTAGTTTCATGTTGTATTGCCGTAACAGTTAAGAAGATTTTCCTGATATTCAGCATAAATCTGGCTTCCTGTAGCTTGTCCTACACTCTCGGATGATTGAGAACACATCCTGCCTCTCCTTTGTATGACTGCTCTTCAAGTATTTAAAACACGCTATCACATCTCCCCTCAATATCCTTTTATCAAGGCTAAACATGCAAATGAAAATCACTTAGCACTAATCAAAGGGTATTTATATATCTATGCTTTCTTTTCTTCAGTGGGAAATTTGTGTAGGAAGGAGAAAGACAGAAGCAGTAGGAAAACATGAGGTCCAAACCCGACTGAAGGAGGGGGGAGTTCATCTAAAGAAATTGCACAAGGAGTTTCTTTGCTTTCTGGAGTCACCTGAGTGACCCCACTGCTTATTTTACAATCCAGAAATGACTGGGCATGTAATGGACACCCCAGAAACAGGTCCCTTCCCTTGCATGGTTGCTTTTATGTGGTCATGTAAGGCAGTAAGTAAGATTCTGGCCAAGAGGTCTGCAAACTGAGTGTGATGTTATGAACAAGGCAGGATACGAGCCTTGTCCTGAAGCATCCCAACTCAGATATTACTTCAACCCAGTTAAGCTCATTTTGATTTTTAATTACTAGCATTTTTGTTTGTTTGATTGCAATATTGATATATTGCCCCATAAGCAAAGTTCTCTCTGAGTGGTGTAAATATGTAAGCACAGTATGCCATCTACATCAGCACACATAGGCCAAAATCCTGTTTGTGATGCCTTTAAGCATGACACATATAGCATAATACATGGAGGCAAATAGCCTCGAGTGCAAAAATCAGTGGAGTCATTATTTTTTGCACAGTGAGTTATATCAATTAGCATGCAGCAGATAAAGTCTATAATGCTATCTTAACTTGAGACATCTCACCTCCAAAAGTTACACTGTTTGCTTTATGCCGGTGTAAAATCATAATAAGATTTTGACATGCAGTATAAACTATAAGATGTACATAGCTATGTGCCCTATGAGAGACCGAGACCATACACCCTATTCAGGAGGTTGTTTTTTTTAAAAGGGGGAATGGTTTGAAAGAATAAGCAGGGAAAGTATTCTACTCACTCTCTAGTGTGTGAAGAGGACTTTTCCTGTCCAGGTAGATTAATCAGCTAATGCTGACAGAATGTGCTCTGAGCCGCTGAGGATACCTCTGCATCTAGCAATAGTGCAGGCTCAATGAGCACTCCAAAATAGTTTCATAGAAAGAAGCACAATGGTACTGAGTTCAGCATCACAAATAATTTAACTTTCATTAAAAAATGTTTAAGGAAACTGTTTAAACAAAAATCAAAACCGTGAAGGTTTTCCATTTTATAGCTGCTTAAAAGTGTATTGCCTGCAGAAACCTCTAAAGCCCAAAGGTCTCTGGAAAGAGACAATAATGCTGGGAAAAGTCGAAGGCAGCAGGAAAAGAGGAAGACTCCAATGTGAGATGGAATGAATCTCTAAAGGAAGCCCCAAGCTTGAGTCTGCAAGAGCTGAGCAGGGCTGTTGAGGACGAGACACGTTGGAGTTGCCTCAAGTCGGAGGCGACTTGATGTCACATAACAACAACAGCAGCAATTAACTAAGTAAACAAATAAACCAAATAGTTAATTCATTATATTAACTGGCATTACAGGCTCCTTCCATCTCTGTGATTCCCCAGTTCTATGAAATAATCAACCAGCTAACTAATTAAAAAAAGAAACCTACAGCTGTTCTTTGAGGAAGGAAAAATGGTCCCTGTGTTGCCAGTGCTTCATGTTACAGTGGTGCCTTGACTTACAAACTTAATCCGTATTGGAACGGTGGCCGTAAGTCAAAACGTTCGTAACTCAAAGCACCATTTCCCATAGGAATGCATTGAAAACCAATTAATCCGTTCCGGCTGAAGAAAAAAAAATACCCCCCAAAAAATAAAAAATGAAAAACTCCAAGACCCTGGGGCCGCAAAAAATGAAACAAATCCCAAAATAAGCAGAAACATAACCCCACCAGCCCAATCTCACACTGCAAAAGATTTAAAAAATAGTTTTAAAAAAGCAAAAAGCAGCACCTTACCTCCACAGCCACTGCCAGGAAGCCTCTGGGACTCCAGCCGCCGATGCCAGGCCAGGGCTTCCCTGCTGCCATAGGGGACCTCCCGGGGGTCCCCCACTGCTGCCAATCACCACCTCTGGAGGTCTCCCAGGGCTTCTCCACCACCATGGGAGACCTCCTGGGGGTCCCCTGGTAGGCCCGGTCTACCCCCAGGAAAGCCTAAAGGCGGCAATTGCCAGTGGCAGCTTCAGTGGCGGGAGGGCCCACACAGCTGCAGGGGAGGC